CCGTGATATGGTGCTTTGATCACCAAGCCCACACCAATCACGCCCAGTGCCTCCGACACTGCTGCTTTGGATCTCACAGCTCCGTGTGACAATCCAGGATTTCACAGCTCCGTGCTACTTTCCTCCCTTCTCTTGTTTTGCTCCAAACAAGTGTTTTCTTGCTTCCAACTTCTGAGACTCGGTAGATGATCTTCAATGATGCGCAGGTCTCTTTGATGAAGATTAACACTCTGGAATGATTTCTCTTGATAGCTCTGAGTGTTTTCTCTCTTTGAATATATCAAGTAAAGTACTTGATATTTTTGCTCTGCTTTGCTCTGTTTAAGAAATCTCAGAATATTTCTCTATTGAAGCTCTCTGAGTTCTTTTTCTTTTCTCACTTCTCACTTGAAGATTTTTGGTATGCTCTGTACCAAATGAGATTTTTGCTCTATGCTCTTTCAAGCTTAATTGCTCTATTCGATCTCCTTGATGAGTTTCAAATTTTCTGCTCTCTTGTTCGTGAGTTCCCCTATCTTCAAGTCTTCATATCTTCATCATTTTATAGCTGGTAATGAGAATCTGTCCGTTGGAAAGAGACGCTCTCATTTTTGAAATCTTGTACTCCCTCTGTCCCATTTTGCCTGTCCTGTTTACTATTCATTGGTCAATCCAACTCTTTCTTCATTGCTTATTTTCTTTAGTAATTTTTAATTATTTTTAAATTTAATTTTTTATGTTTAATAGTACTTTTAATGTAATTTCTAAATATATAAATTTTATATACTAAAAATAAATTTAATATTATGAAAAATTGAAGTAAAAATAGCTTCAGTCAAGCCTCGTTAACCGAATCAGACAAACAAAATGGGACGGAGGTAGTATCTTTTTGTCAGAGATCTTATCTTATCTTCTGCAAAGATGTCAGAAAGGATAAGCTAGCCGTTTGATGGATCTTCATCTCCATGTAAATGAGCTTCCAAACTCCATCTGATATTCCTCTGGTTTAATGTTTGAGTGAGAATATTTGGGTCTCAGTTTTGGTGTAGAACGGCTTCTCTGATCAGCTCTGAAGTGGTCATTGTATCTTTGGGATTCAAAAATATTCATTGATTTAATCCCATACTAGTTAAACTAGTTATTTTCCTTGTGAGAATATTTTCACTGTAAGTTCATCTTCATCTTCTTCATTCTCATGTCTGGGTGTTCTCAGACTTCAAACTGGCTTTGAACTTCCACCCAATTTGAATTTCTCCTTTTGTAATTGACACCCAATTTCAATTGGCTTGTAATTGGCACCCAATTTGAATTTCTCCATTATAATTGGCTCCCAATTAACTTTGACTTGCAATTGGCTCCCAAACTGCTCCTGGTGCTTTCAATTGCTTCCCAATTTGAATTGTTGACTTTGACTTCGAAATTGGCTCCCTTCAATTTGATCTCCATGCCTTCTTTGAATCGGTTCCCAACTTGAAATTATTAGGACTCTATCATCATTAGTATTCGTTACCTATTATTATTAGTAATTAGTATTCGTTACCTATTATTATTAGTATTCGTCTTGTAATAGGTTTACTATTCACTACTATATATACTCCTGTACAGACTCATTATTATTCATTCAAATATATCGTATCCTCATCTGGTATCAGCAGGTTTCTCTATCCTCTCTCTAATGGCGCACCTCGGATCTGATGATGGCTCTGTTGGTAGTTCTGAACGAACCGTTTCCGAGGCCGCGCTTGTTGCACCGCTGCAGTCGGGGGTGTCATTCTCTTCGGCGCATCACTTCGTCTCCATCAAGTTGACATCCCGCAATTTTTTGTTTTGGCGTACTCAGCTTCTTCCGTTCTTGGATGGCCAAGGGTTGTTGGGTTTTGTCGATGGTACTTCGGTATGTCCGCCGATCACCGCGCTTGCCGTGCCGCCTGCCGAGGGAGCTGTTCCTGCCGTGCCTTCGTCGGCTTCGTCTTCCGCTGCTCGGAGTGCATGGCTCCGTCAAGATAAGGTTGTGCTCTCCTTATTAATCTCATCCTTGTCCGACGAGATGATGCACCTCGCAATCGGTAAGTCCACTTCTCGGCATTTGTGGTTGGCAATCGAACAGGTTCTTGGTTCGACTACACGGGCTCGTGCCCTCCGGTTGGTGGGCGAGTTGCAAGGATTACGGTAGGGGGATGCTTCGATCCCGGACTATCTTGGCCGTGCGCAGGTGCTTATCAAGGATTTAGCGCTTGCCGGCCGTCCGGTGACGCTAGAGGATCAGAATATGTATATATTTCGAGGCTTGCAGTCCGAATATCGTCCTTTGGTGGCGTCGCTCACAAGGGGTGCTTCGGTGTCTCTGCCCGAGCTATCCGATTTTCTTGTTTCGCAGGCTTTTATATGTGCCGATGATGCTGGTGATGTTGCTGCTGCTTCGGTCGCCATGGCGACTCAGCGAGGTGGAGGCCGTTCGGGCGGGCAGCAGCGTGGAGGCGGCAACCGCGGCCGTGGTCGCGGCAAAGGGCGTGGCCGTGGTCGTGGCGGTGCCGGGGCTGTCCAGTGCCAGATCTGCTCCGGCGAGAGCCATTCGGCAGCTTCGTGCTTTCGCCGGTACGATGGAGCTCCGGGGCCGAGAGCGCATGTTGCGTATCCTGTGGATGATGTGGCTTCGGTTAGCACTCAGCAATGGTTTCCCGACACTGGTGCGTCGAACCATGCCACACCAGATCCGTCTTTGATGTCCTCGATGGTCTCTTATAACGGTCCGGATCATCTTCGTGTTGGTGACGGTAAGTGTTTACCTATTGTTGGTATTTGTTCGTCTTCGGTAGCCTCTTCTAAAACACTGTTTCGGTTGTCTGATGTTCTTTTTGTTCCTGGGCTTTCTGCGTCTTTATTATCTGTGCAACGGTTTGCCCGTGATAATAATGTATTCTTTGAATTTCACCCTGATTGTTTCTTTGTGAAGGATCGTTCAACCAGGGAAGTTCTGTATAGAGGGCAGGCTTCGGGGGGTCTCTATTCTTAGGCCGTTTCTCGTTCGAGTTCCGCTGCGTTAGTGGCTTCGCGTGTCTCCTCTGACATTTGGCATGGTCGGTTGGGTCACCCTCATCCTCGTGTCTTGCGGCAGATTTTGAATTTGTGTTCCATTGATTCTAGTTTTAGTAATAGTTCGGTGTCGTGTCGTGCTTGTATGCTTGGGAAATCATCTCGGTTTCCCTTGCCTCGTGTCAATACTACTACGTCGCATGTTTTAGAGCTTATTTATACTGATATTTGGGGCCCAGCGCCTTTTCTTTCTGTCAATGGTTTTCGTTATTTTGTTTTGTTTGTTGATGACTACACACGCTATGTATGGTTTTATCCTATGCGATTAAAAACTGATGTGTATGCTATCTTCGAGCAGTTTCGTCACTAGTTGAGCGTTCATATGGTCGTAAGATTGTCTCTATACAATCTGATTTAGGGGGAGAGTATAAACGGTTGCACCGTACTTTTGTCTCTTTGGGTATCAATCATAGGCAATCTTGTGCCTATACCCATGAGCAGAATGGTAGAGTTGAGCGTCGGCATCGTCACGTTGTGGAAACGGGTCTGGCTCTCTTGGCTCAGGCTTCAGTTCCACAGCGATATTGGGATTATGCCTTTGAGACTGCGGTCTATCTCATCAATAAAATGCCTACTCGAGTTCTAGACAATGTCAGTCCTCATTATCGTTTGCATCATTCTAATCCTTCTTATTCCTTCTTGCGTGTGTTTGGATGTCTCTGTTATCCTCTGTTACGCCCGTACAATCGTAACAAGTTGCAGTATCGGTCATCCCCGTGTGTGTTTCTTGGTTATCCGTCTTCGTTTCGTGGCTATCGTTGTTTAGATCCTGCTACTAACAAGGTATTCATTTGTCGTCATGTACGGTTTGATGAGACCATATATCCGTTTGCTTCTTCTATGCCTTCTCAGGTCTCTAGCTCTCGCCCGGTTGAGCCCTGGGGTGTTGGTGCCGTTCGGGTTGGTGTTGGCTCCGATGTTTGTCCCACTGGACCTGATCCTCATCCAGAGTTGGACGCAGATTCCGGGGCTGCCGCAGCTGGTTCAGATTCTCGCACCGTGACTGCTACGGCTCCGGAAGGGGCGGTCTCGGGTGCTCCTACTGCGCCCAAGTGAGGCCGCCATACGGCGAAGCCTGTTCAGCCTCGGTCTCATGTCATGGCAACCCGTTCTCAAGGACCGACGCAGCATGTGGCTCTTATGACTGTTCCTGAACCGACTTGTTATTCTCAGGCAGTTCGGTATCCGGAGTGGCGTGAGGCCATGGATCTTGAGTTTAATGCCTTGCTCCAAAATCACACTTGGCGTCTGGTTAGTCGTACACCTAGCATGAATGTTGTAGGGTGCAAATGGGTGTTCAGAACGAAGCGCAAGGCCGATGGCACGATTGAGCGGCACAAGGCTCGATTGGTCGCAAAGGGTTTCAATCAAGTCGTTGGGCAAGACTTTTTTGAGACTTTCAGTCCTGTTGCCAAACACACCACCGTGCGGCTTCTTCTCTCTTTAGCCGTTTCTCGCGGTTGGGTCATTCGGCAGTTGGATGTTCACAACGCCTTCCTCAATGGTAATCTTGCAGAGACAGTTTACATGAGACAGCCGCCCGGTTATGAAGACCAGTCACGGCCGGATGATGTGTGTTTGTTACAGAGGTCACTCTATGGTCTTAAGCAGGCTCCTCGAGCGTGGTTCAATAGGTTGCATGCTTTCTTGGTGTCGGTTGGTTTTTCACCCTCCAAGACTGATGTTTCTTTATTCATCTATACCCGTGCCTCTATTTGTTTATATTTGCTTGTCTATGTTGATGATATCCTTGTTATGGGGTCTGATGCTTCGTGTGTTACTCGGTTTCTTACTGACTTAGCCTCGGAGTTTAAGATTCGTGACATGGGTGCTCCGTCTTTTTTCTTGGCATTGAGACGGTCTCCAAGGATGGTGGTTTGTTTCTTTCTCAGCAGCGATACATGCGAGATATTTTGAGCCGTGCAGGTATGGTGGACTGTAAACCGTTGGCTACTCCGGTTCCTGTGTCCCGACCTTCTTCTGATTCTGTGGTTCCCTATGCGGATCCCACGCAGTATCGCAGTTTTGCTGGGGCTCTACAGTATCTTACTGTTACTCGTCCGGATCTCTCTTTTGCTGTGAATCGGGTCTGTCAGCATATGCACTCTCCAACCACTGAGCATTGGGCTATGCTCAAGCGTGTTCTGCGGTATGTAAAAGGAACTCTGCACTTTGGCCTTTTTATTCGTCCTTCATCCTATGTTGCGGTTCATGCCTTTTCGGATTCGGACTGGGCTGGTGATCCAGCTGACAGGAAGTCTACTAGTGGGGTTTTGCGGTTTTTCTTGGTGGCAATCTGATTTCCTGGTCTTGTCGGAAGCAACGCACGGTTGCTCGTTCGTCTACAGAGGCTGAATACAAGGCTCTGGCTGATGTGTCTGTGGAGGTCACCTGGTTGGTTTCTCTGTTGCACGAGCTTGGAGTGTCATTGGCTGCTCCTCCCACTCTCTGGTGTGATAATTTGGGTGCGACTTATCTCTGTTCCAACCCGGTGTTCCATGCTCGTACGAAGCATGTGGAAATTGATTACCACTTTGTTCGTGACAAAGTGGCGAAGAAGGAGTTGCAGGTTAGCTTCATTTCCACAAAGGATCAGCTCGCTGATGTGTTCACTAAAGCTCTCCCTGGTCCGCGTTTCTCTACTCTATGTGGCAAGCTCAATGTTGTTGCTAGTCCACCTTGTGCTTGAGGGGGAGTATTAGGACTCTATCATCATTAGTATTCGTTACCTATTATTATTAGTAATTAGTATTCATTACCTATTATTATTAGTATTCGTCTTGTAATAGGTTTACTATTCACTACTATATATACTCCTCTACAGACTCATTATTATTCATTCAGATATATCGTATGCTCATCGAAATTGCATCCCATACTACAACCTCAATTGGCTCCCAATTTCAATTCTACATTGGCGTCTTGTAATAGGTTTACTATTCACTACTATATATACTCCTGTACAGACTCATTCTACATTGGGATTGCATCCATACTACAACCTCAATTGGCTCCCAATTTCAATTCTACATTGGCTCCCATCTTGAATTGATTCTTATGTGAAACTTGCTCCCAATTTCAATTGCTATGAAATCGGCTCCCAATTTCAATTGCTATGAAATCGGCTCCCAAGTGCAATTGCTTCCCAATTTCCACTTGTTAATCGACGCCCAACTCCATCAGATTAATTTAATTTGGCTTTTCAAATTTTACCTTGTAAAATTATTAATGGTGAGTTTTGAACTTGAGCCATTTTACATAACATATCAAGCATCATCCACTTCGTCCGTACAGCTTTTGATTAAATCTCCAATCACATTTGATGTACTCCTTTCTTTCCATAGATGCTTGATCTCCAAGTCAATTTCATGCATTCTTCCAATATTAATTTTCTTCACGAAAATTCTTCTGGGATATCTTCTTTGAGTAGCATTGACGTGAATTATTGTATCATTCATCTTCTTCTTCAATTTGTCATTTTCTCCAGACAAATTCTTGATTTTAGGCTTTATATCTTCTTCTTCTATTTTCATGCATCTTCCTCTGTTTTTCTCTTTTCCAGTTTAAATAATTTCCCGATCATGGTCTAAGACTCTACTAGACCTATAAACAAATTTGGGGGATCTACAAATACAAATTTGGCATATCAAAACCATTACACTTTATTCCTAACAATTTCCCCCCTTTTGATAATGCCAAAACCTATACTCAATCATTGGCTTTAAGTCTTTGAAAAATAATCTTTTTGCTCAATTTTATGTGACAAAGCCAAGATGAGTTTAACAAATGGTTTTCTAGACACAATCAAAAGAAACTTGTGAATTAAATTTTTAGACAAGCTCCTAAACGCATCTTGAATTATTTTTATTTTGATCATCATCAATTTTTAATTTTGTCGTGCGTTTGACATATTTCTTGTCTTTTAATTCACGAAAGTCTAATTACATTAAACAAATAGAATTAAAGACTCAAAATAGACCATGGGAAATTATTATTGATATATTTTGAATTTATAGAAAAACGCAACAGAGGTTCGAAAATAGAAAATATCAGCTTAAGAGAATTTTCAGATTACCTTCTGGGTTTCTTCACACCAGAGTCTTTCTTCAAAATTTCCTTGACATGTTCTCTGAGTTTGAAGAAATCATCTTTGAACTTTGCATTCTGAAATTTCTTTGTAAGCTGTCCGGCCATGTAATGTCCATAAGCTTCTTTGATATTGTTGCCCGGAAGAACTCCGTTTTCCCACCATAAGACACATTCTTCGAAGCTTCTTTCTTCTCCAAGATTCATGCCCATATTTCCGATGAAATCTCTTAGTTCATACCACATCTCGGTTCTTTTCCTTTTGCCTTCTTCTTCTTTATTCTTTTCCGAGATCCATTGGGCTTGATCGGCTGCAGGCCATTTCTTGATCATGCTTGGTAGATTTTCCTTAGTCCATATTGTTGTCTGAGTGGCGGTACCCTTAGAGCATTCAAACTAGCCACGCTGTTCAGCAACCTTTGATGTACTCGTACCAAGACTAGGATTCGCGAACTGAGCAAAACCAATCTGAGATGGTCCTTGTGAGGATTGTCCGCGGCTTCGGCCTCTACCTTGAGTAGACACCATTGGCTGTTGTTGGCTTCCAAGAATAAATTCTTGTTGTTGCAAAGCCAAGTGACTGAGAATTTCTTCCCCCCTTTTGGCGTTATCAACCAAAAATGCAAGGGTCTTAAAATCTCGGTCTTGGTTTGCCTTCACAGTTTCAACACTGTTGTGTGTTTCAATGGAAACGGTTTGCACGTTGTCAAGCTTGTTTGTTGTAACTGCGAGTTCAGCTTCAAGTTTGTTGATTCGGCTTTCTTGGTCTTGAATTGCTTTGATCTGTCTCAAGTGACGTTCGTTATTAATCTTTTCAGCTGCTTCACGTTCTTTCTTCATGAGCTGAATCACTTCAAGTAAGCCTTTTTGTCAATTCTCCATTCAAAATTCTTTCTGCTTTGTCAATCTAGGTCTTCAAAATATTTTGATGCTCCATTAATTCCTTTAGATTGACTCATACATCCGTGTGTTGTTGATCTAGCTTTTGGTTTTGTTCAACCAACTTTTCTCCAATTGTTTGACAAACAACATCACTGGATTCGGCTACTTTGGCAAATAAGGATGAAAATATGCCATCATCTTGATCATTCATCTGCACAAAGTTTTGAGGGGATCCGAATGGACTTCTATTCGGATCTGTGAAAACAAATGTATCAATAAGTTGCATCCCTTCTTCTTCAGGTGATTCGGCTTCTTGGTTTAGATCACCAACTTGTTCTTCTAGGACTTCTGTTCTTGTGTAATTGTCTGCAAATAATTCTTCATTTTCTAGAACAGGGTCCATGGTAGACTCGGTATGGTGTACCGACAATACACTGGATAAATCCTCTGTGATTTGCAGTCTACTCTCAGTAGCAACTTCTACTGCAACTTCAACTGGTATATCTCTTCTTCTTTCTTCTGACACTTCTCGTACTGACACTTCGGCTTCATTGGATCCCACAAGTTGTTCATTGCACTCCAGATTCCAGATCAGATATTAATAAAGAAGCATCATGGACTTTCACAAGCATGTCCATATGATTTTCAGTGCTTATGATTGGTACATCAATGAGTGCCATCCCTTCAGTTCTTTCATCAAAAATTTCATTATCCACAAGAGATGTGTTACCTGGATAATGATGTGTGTCATAAACTAACCTTTGCAGAGCTAACTGAAGTGAAATTTCATTCTGTCGTTCTTGTTCTGCTAAACGGTCTTGAGCCGTACTGCCTCCCTTTATTGGTGCTTTTCCTTTTTGTCTGGCTGCCTTCTCGTGTAGCTTCATGTGATAAACTTGATTTAAATCCATGTTGAGTGCATCTAGCATCACGCTCGTTCCGCACCATTCCAAGGAAAAATCTTCACTCCGTATTAAATCTGGGGTGGTTTTTGACATGAAAGAATGATATCTTTCAAGTTTCCATTCTCTCCAAGTTTGCACCATTATCAATTCTTTCAACAGCTCCGGATCATCTTGAATAAGAGCTGAGTCAAAAACTATAGGTCATGCACTTCCTTCGGCTGCAGATTGACTCGAGAGCCTTCTTTGTAGATCATTCAAAATTTGCACATCAACTCCTGCAAATTCCATTCTTGTAGTATCGTCAACTCCTTCGGCCAACAAGTTTGGTTCGGCATATTTGATCAGAACAACTGCCATAGCCGTACTGATGGCTTCTTGATCTCTTCCTGATCGATTGCATGATCCCATTTGATTACTTGAGGTTGAGATTGCTTTGCTGTTTCTCGGTCTAGAACTCTGAGGTGTTTTTGAACTTGTGGAACTCCCACCTTCTTGTCCTCTTCTCTGGCTTGACCTTTTTCCAAAATTAGGACTGAATTTTCTGAAGAGAACTCTGTAAATTCCAATATTTTTGTGTTTTCTCATTGGAATTGTCTTCTTCCTTAGCAGTTCTCCAATGATGAGACCATATCCAACATTTTGATAGAATCTGTCCACTACAGCAGGTTTCTTCATTGGTTTGGCAGCATGAACAAAAATAACCATCTTCCTGTAGATAAATCTTGCCCATTTGAATTTTATTCCTTTCATGATTCCGTCCATCAGGCACACTGTTGATGCGGTCAAATCTTCAGTACTTCCCAGTTTGTGTTCAAGAATTTTGTAAATCATGTCCACCAACATCTCGTATTCAAACTTCAATACATTCTTATGAGCGGATACGTCAGAGAAAATTGGACTCGTAGGACCACGAATCTCATTCCAAAAATTTTGAACAACATAGCTGTGGGATTCTGGCATTATCTGAGATTCAGGAAAGTTGAAGCACTTGTGTATGTCATCTTCAGTGATCGAAACTTCTGATCCTCCAACTTTAGATTTAATCGAGTCCTTTTCAACGACTGCATGTAGATAAAATTTGGCTACATCTTCTTCAAAGGTTCCAAAGTAGTTGTAGGTGAAGAAATCAAACAGTCCATATTTTTAAAGCTTGAAGAATTTTCTCGGCCGTGTCCTTGTTGGTAGAACCTAGTCTGAAAAACTCAGGATTGAGTACCATCCCATTCGTCACTTGTTGCGAGAGGGCAAAAATAGGATCAATTTGCTTTCTTCCAGATTGGGCCATGATGATCAGATCGATTGATCGAAGAGAGATAATTTGAGAGAGAGTTTTCTGATATTTTGAAGGTCTTGAAAGAGTTTTTTGAGATATAAGAGAGAGGTTTATATGAGGAGGATGACTCGAATGGGTTTTTCGGATTTAAGAGAGAGATATGAGACTTCTCAATTGTACCCTTTTGTTGAGGTGTGTCGATTGGGTGAGTTTAGGGTAGATGAGTCATCTGATAGATAGTGTTACGAGGAAAGAGAAAATATCATCATGAGCAGACAATAGCATTTAATGCTCACACCTCTTTAGAAATACCCAATGCACGTAAGGTGTAGAGGGTGGAGATTTGAAGAGACACTTAGGAAGGATTTGGGTTCTGATCTCCTTGAGATTTGTTTGTGGGGATCGATTAAGAGAGTAGATTTCTGACAGGCGAGATGGGGGTGTCGATTGAGAGAGGGGGTAAATCTTGTTTGGAAAGATTTGATTTAGGAAAGGATTATGGGGGGAGGTTTAGAAAGGGTAGGAGTTTATGGGTGGAGGTTTGATGCCCAATTAAACTCTGATTATCCTCCTTTATCTCCTGATTTCCTTCTCAAATTCGTGTACCACAAACATAATAACACTCAAACATCTCGTTAGTAGCAAAAATTACTCCACAAATAATTAATCACACATACCAATTATATTAAACTCATACACTGTAATTTCCAATCAAAAATTAAACACATTTTGGAAACTAACAAAATTAACACACATATTCCTAAATTATAATTAGAAACAACTTTATATAAAAAGCACATTAATCAGATTCCAAAAAAAATTTTAGAAACTAACAACTTCTAGATTTCCAAAACATTTTATGGCAAATTATATCACATATACTGCATATATACGAAACACATATACAAATAACACTTTAAATCACATTTTGCACATAACACATATACATTATTAAACAAACACGGTAAATCATTTTTAGAGCAAATTGTTCATGCAAACAAGTTAGTTAATTTACAGAAACATGAACACATACTCAAAAACTTATTTAGCACATTAAAACATGCAATTTTAAACAACTTATCAAATAAATCACGAATTACACATTTTATCAAATTAATTTGCATGGCATATGATCTCACGTTAAATAACACATGCAAATACACAAATAAGATCCTAACACATATTGCAATTTTATCACATAAAAATTTCGAGTAAAAACATACATATAAACACATAAAACAATTTATTCATATAAAACAATTTAGTTTGAGCACAAGTATCAATTTAAATAGAGAGATTAAGTCCAGTGATACTTAGCTCATTTCGATCATTCCCAACTCGTGCCTTAAGGTAGAAAATCTCGTTTCGCATAAAGGCTTCGTGAGAATATCAGCAACTTGGTTTTCCGTAGGGATATATTCGATCTTCAGATTTTTCTTTTCAACGTGATCCCTTATAAAATGATGTCGAATGTCGATATGTTTGGTTCTTGAGTGAAGCACCGGATTGTGAGTGATAGCGATTGCACTAGTATTATCACAATAAATACTAACGTCATCACAATTAACTCCGTAATCCTTCAATTGTTGCTTCATCCATAAAATTTGCGCACAACAGCTTCCTGCAGCAATATATTCGGCCTCGGCGGTACTAGTTGCGATGGAATTTTGCTTTTTGCTGAACCAAGAAACAAGCCTTCCCCCCAAGAACTGGCATGTCCCGGAAGTGCTTTTTCTGTCTATTTTGCAACCTGCAAAATCCGCATCTGAAAAACTCGTTAAGAGTAAAACCCGTATGATCTTCTTTGTTGCGGTGAGGTGGCTTTCTTTTGGATTTGCTTGGAATCTTGCACACACGCCCACAGCATAAGAAATGTCCAGCCTACTTGCAGTAAGATATAGAAGTGAACCAATCATTCCTCTATATTTTGTTTGATCGACATCCTTTCCATCTTCATCTTTGTCTAGCCTTATTGATGTGCTCATTGGAATTTTGATCGATGATTTTCCATCAAGGCCAAACTTCTTTATCAAGTCGCGGGTGTACTTTGCTTGATTGATGAATACTCCTTCTTTCAGTTGTTTGACTTGTAAGCCCAAGAAGTAATTCAATTCACCCATCATGCTCATTTCGAATTTATTCTGCATAAGCTTCGAAAATTTCTCACACAAAGAATTGTTAGTGCTTCCAAAAATAATATCATCAACATATATTTGCACTAATAAAATATGATCACCATCTTGAATTCTAAATAGAGTTTTGTCAACAAGGCCTTTAGTGAATCCACAGCTTATCAAAAACATTGACAAAGTATCATACCAAGCTCTAGGTGCTTGTTTCAACCCATACAATGCCTTTTTAAGTTTGTAGACTTTATCACCTTCGCCTTTTACCTCAAAACCTGGGGGTTGTTCGACATAAACTTCTACTTCGAGTAGACCATTCAAGAATGCGCTTTTCACGTCCATTTGATCAATGGTGAAATCTTTGTGTGCGGCGTAGGCTAGGAAAATTCTGATTGCTTCAAGTCGGGCCACCGGTGCAAAAGTTTCATCAAAATCTATTCCTTCTTCTTGAGAGTATCCTTTTGCAACGAGCCTTGCTTTATTCCTAACAATCACGCCTTCTTCGTTTCCTTTGTTCCGGAAGACCCATTTGGTTCCTACAACATTGTGGTTCGCCGGTCTTGGAACAAGTTCCCAAACATCATTTCTTTTGAATTGATCGAGCTCCTCTTGAATAGCATTTATCCAATCCGGATCATTGAGAGCTTTGTCAATTTCTTTTGGTTCAATCTGAGATAGATAACACGTGAACAATGCTTCTATGGTAGATGATCTTGTTTTCACGCCTTCATGAATATTCCCAATAATTAATTCTGGAGGGTGATTTTTGAGCCATCTTAAATCTGGTTCAAATGGGTGCATGGTACTGAATGGATCCATTTGTTGTGTACTGGGAGAGTTGGTTCGAATTTCTACATTTAATTCATTTTGTAATTGACCACCAACTTCACCAGTAACTTGATCACTAATTGGATCACCAACTTGTACTGCATCCTCATTCTCACGTGAGGCATCACTCCCAAAATTATTATTAAAAGAATTTCCAACTTCTTCTAGATGAGGGATGGGATTTTCTAGAGAATTAATTTCCAACTCATCCATTCCCTGCAAAACATCATCTTAAACATTTGCATCCAAAAATATGAAAATAACCAATATTTGGTTTTCTCCCTTTATATAACTCATATGGAGTCTTCTTGTACTGCTTATGGATCATGCTTCGATTTTGCGTATAACAAGCAGTGTTGATAGCTTCCGCCCAATATCGTTTCGGGAGACCGGCAGCACTAATCATCACTCGTGCAGCTTCTTTGAGCGTCCGGTTTCTTCTTTTGGCAACACCGTTTTGTTGCGGTGTTCTTGCGGCAGATATTTGATGAGAAATTTCATGTGAATTGCAAAAAGCTTGTATAACTCCATTCACGAACTCGGTTCCGCGATCCGTTCATATTTTTGATATTTGCAATTCTTTCTCATTTTGTAGTTGCTTCAACAGCTTCGGTAGAACTTGCTCAACTTCATTTTTCTTCTTGAGAAACACGGTCCAAGTGTACCTGGAAAAATCATCAACAACAACGAGAGTATATTTCTTACCACTTACACTTATTGGATCAACCGGTCCAAATAAGTCCATATGTAGTAAGCTTAGCGGTCTTGACGTTAACTCGTGTGTCTTTGATTTGAATGATGATTTGATTTGCTTTCCGCGTTGGCATGCATCACACACTTGGTCCTTCTTGAAGATAATATCTGGCAAGCCTTCTACTAGATTTTTCTTTGCAAGCTGATTGATGGTCTTGAAGTTTAAGTGGTTGAGCTTTCTGTGTCATTCCCAATTAGCTTCATTTGAATTTCTGGTCATTAAGCACACTGATTCTTTGCTAGTGCTCCAATCAACAACATACATATTCTTTCGTCTTTTTCCAGAAAGAACAATCTCATTTGTGAGCTCATTTTTGATTAGGCAATTATCTTTAGAAAATTCTACAAGATAGCCTTTATCAAAAAATTGACTAGTGCTCAACAAATTAAATTTTAAGCCTTCAACGAAAGACACATCTTCAATCTTCAAGCCATTTTTCTTGATCGTGCCAACTCCTTTTGTAATTCCATAATTTTGATTTCCTCCGAATATAACTTTTGGTCCATCGCTTTCTTTGAAATTCTCTAGATATGATTTATTTCTAGTCATGTGGCGTGAGCAACCACTATCGATGTACCAAACATCCTGCAAAAAAGATTAATTAACTTTAGGTACCCATACTTGCTTGGGTCCTTTACTGTTAGTGATTTTTGGTAACCAAACCCACCTTGATCTTATTGAAATAAGATGAGGCAATTTGTAACCATTAGAGACACAATAATCATAACTCACTTTAGAAAATATTTTTGGCGCCGGGTTTTGAAAATTACTTTTATATTTTGGCACCTGGGAAGAGAATGGTTGCTTTGGTCTATAAAAAATATTACATCTATTGCACAACCAATCTTTTTGAGTGGGATGAAATTTCCCAACTTTATTTCTAGAAAAGTTTCCCTCTTTTCTATGAAATCTTTTTGCACTTGACTCTTTGGCATATCTTTGCTTGTAGAATTTTTGTTGCTTTGCCGTATAATTAAATTGTTTCGGCCTTTCAACATTCAATTTTGCTTTTGTTTGATAGCCAAGTCCTTGTCTCATTGAGCTATTCTGACTTTTAACAAATTTTACCACTTGAACTTTATTATTTAAAGTAGTAGTAGAATTAGTCAGATTTTGAGGGGTTTGAGAACATGTGGAGTCATAACCAATTCCGGTTCTATCTCCTGATGGATTTTGCATGCTCACCATTTTATCTATAATTTTAGACGAATTGGTGAACGTAGCAATAGTAGCTCTAAGATTATGTTCTCTAACCTCTCTTGCTTTACACTCTTCTTGAAGATGAATATTTTCATTCTTCAATTTACTCACTTCAAGTAAAGCATCTTGCAATTTTTTATTCATTTCTTCTTTTTCAAGAATTAGAATATTATTGCTCTCCTTGAGTTGAGGATGAGTGAGCACAATCTCTTGACATTCTCGCATTAGATTGTCAATAGATTCACGAGAAAAAGAAGAATTAACAGAATTGAAAGAATTAGATGTTACCTCTTCTTCCTCTGCTTCAAGAGCCATAAGACAATCTTCACTTGTACTCAACTCAATTGACTTGCATATTAGCGCCGTATCATCATCCGAACATGAACTTTCATCGCTTGATGATGAATCCTCCGAATCATCATTTTCGTTTGGTTCGTTGCTAACGAGAGCTTTTCTTTTGTCGCGCTTGAACCTTTTGCTTTCGGATTTGTTCGGCGTAGATTCAACATTTTTGCCTTGATACTTGCTAACGATCGGATACGGACAATTTATTTTAAAATGTCCGGGTTTGCAGCAATTGTAGCACAAATCCTTATTTTCTTCGACTTTTTCTTCTTGTGTTATGCGAGAGATGAATTTTCCACGAGCAGAATTTTTGTTGTTTCCTTTTCGCATAAACCTTCTAAACTTTTTGAAAAAAAGAGCAAATTGTTCGTCAGTCATAAATTCAACATTATTTTCTACTGACCTGGAGGTTGACGGTTGTTCGGCCATTAGAGCAGCATTTCGAGCTTCATGAACATCATCATCTTTGGCCTTCATTTCGAACTCATATGCTTTTAGATCACTAAATAATTTGTCTGTTGACAACATTCTTAGATCTCGGTGATCGCGCATAGCCGTAACCTTCATATCCCATGCAGATGGTAAGCCTCGTAGGATTTTGAGATTAATTTCTTTTTGGCTAATATTTTTGCCAAGATCACTAATCTCTCCAAGAACTTTGATCATTCGAGCTTCCATGTCTGCAACACTTTCATTTGAGAGCATTTTGAAATCTTCAAACTTCTTCATGGCGATTGTGAGCTTATTGTATTTTTCTTGTTCATCTCCTTCGCCAATCTTGATGAGAGTATCCCATATTTCTTTGGCAGTGGCACACTTTCGGATCTTCGGAAATATTGTATCATCAACGGCTTTGAATAGAATATCCTTGGCAATATTGTCAAGATTATTCCGCGTTCTATCGTCCGATGTCCATTCCGATTTTGGCTTTTGTACGTACTGTGGAGCATCCGGGGATATAACAAACGCCGTATTGATTTTTAATATTTCTATAGGGCTAGTGGAAATAACTTCCCACATTTCATCGTGTAAAGCCGATAAGTGTACCTGCATACGAACTTTCCAATCATCAAATTTATCAAGAGAGAATAATAGATTTTGAGCTAAATCTTTCTTCATCATCATCACGAGAGATATGAAAGATTAATCCAATTCACACACTTTGTAGAATGGATCTGTCTGGTAGTCAGAAACGGTTGACCCAGTTAGGCACGTGCTTAGATAGCAATTTGGCCTAAATAGACAGCCTGCTCTGATACCAATTGTTGGTCCCAAAAGAGGTAAGGTGAAAGTCTAGAGGGGGGGGTGAATAGACTTTCAGACTTTTTCGCACAGCACAACAATTGCTAAGCCAGAGATAAACCAAAACTCTTAACTAGATTGTTAGAGTATGGTGCACAGCGGAAATAAATATACATAAAGTGTGTGTGAGATTGTGTGAGCAGTATATCTCGTGTAGAGCGAATATGTAAAGAACGGTAAGTAAAGAAAGCAGTAAAGAACACAAGACAATTATAGTGGTTCGCGAGGTGGTGTAATCCTCCTACTCCACTTGCTCTTATCTCCAAGAGCAATTCACTATATCTACCACTTCTTGGTTCCAAGATACAATGAATTTCCGTGATCTAGTGCTTTGATCACAAAGCCCGCACTAATCACGCCCAGTGACACCACACTGCTGCTTTGGGTTTCACGTCGCCGCGCTACTATCCCAGGATTTCACGACTCCGCGTTACTTTCCCCCCGTCGTCCACACTCCGGTAGAAAAGTATCCCGTGATATGGTGCTTTGATCACCAAGCCCACACCAATCACGCCCAGTGCCTCCGACACTGCTGCTTTGGATCTCACAGCTCCGTGTGACAATCCAGGATTTCACAGCTCCGTGCTACTTTCCTCCCTTCTCTTGTTTTGCTCCAAAACAAGTGTTGTCTTGCTTCCAACTTCTGAGACTCTGTAGATGATCTTCAATGATGCGCAGGTCTCTTTGATGAAGATTAACACTCTGGAATGATTTCTCTTGATAGCTCTGAGTGTTTTCTCTCTTTGAATATATCAAGTAAAGTACTGGATATTTTTGCTCTGCTTTGCTCTGTTTAAGAACTCTCAGAATATTTCTCTTTTGAAGTTCTCTGAATTCTTTTTCTTTTCTCACTTCTCACTTGAAGATTTTTGGTATGCTCTGTACCAAATGAGATTTTTGCTCTATGCTCTTTCAAGCTTAATTGCTCTATTAGATCTCCTTGATGAGTTTCCAATTTTCTGCTCTCTTGTTCGTGAGTTCCCCTATCTTCAAGTCTTCATATCTTCATCATTTTATAGCTGGTAATGAGAATCTGTCCGTTGGAAAGAGACGCTTTCATTTTTGAAATCTTGTATCTTTTTGTTAGAGATCTTATCTTATCTTCTGCAAAGATGTCAGAAAGGATAAGCTAGCCGTTTGATGGATCTTCATCTCCATCTAAATGAGCTTCCAAACTCCATCTGATATTCCTCTGGTTTAACGTTTGAGTGAGAATATCTGGGTCTCAGTTTTGGTGTAGAACGGCTTCTCTGATCAGCTCTGAAGTGGTCCATGTATCTTTGGGATTCAAAAATATTCATTGATTTAATCCCTGTAAGTTCATCTTCATCTTCTTCATTCTCACGTTTGGGTGTTCTCAGACTTCAAACTGGCTTTGAACTTCCACCCAATTTGAATTTCTCCTTTGTAATTGACACCCAATTTCAATTGGCTTGTAATTGGCACCCAATTTGAATTTCTCCATTGTAATTGGCTCCCAATTGACTTTGACTTGCAATTGGCTCCCAAACTGCTCCTGGTGCAATTGGCTCCCAGACTTCTCCTGGTATTGAATTTCATTCAATTCAATTCTGCTCCCTTTGACTTCGAAATTGGCTTGGCTCCCAGACTTCTCCTGGGATTGAATTTCATTCAATTCAATTTGATCTCCATGTCTTCTTTGAATCGGTTCCCAACTTGAAATTGCATCCCATACTACAACCTCAATTGGCTCCATGTCTTCTTTGAATCGGTTGAAACTGGCTCCCAATTTCAATTGATTTCAATTTCTTTGAATCGGTTGAAACTGGCTCCCAATTTCAATTGATTTCAATTTCTCTGAAACTGGCTCCCAATTTCAATTGCTTCGAACTAGCTCCCAATTTCAATTGCTATGAAATCGACTCCCAATTGTATCTCAATTACCACCCAAGTGAAATTCTGAAACTGGCTCTGGCTCCCAAGTGCAATTGTATCTCAATTACCACCCAAGTGAAATTCTGGCTCCCTGGCTCCCAATTTCAATTTTGAATTGGCTCCCAAGTGCTCCCAATTTCAATTTTAAATTGGCTCCCAAGTGCAATTGTATCTCAATTACCACCCAAGTGAAATTCTGAAACTGGCTCCCTGGCTCCCAATTTCATCTCAATTACCACCCAAGTGAAATTCTGAAACTGGCTCCCTGGCTCCCAATTTCAATTGCTTCGAACTAGCTCCCAATTTCAATTGCTTCGAACTAGCTCCCAATTTCAATTCCTTCGAAATCGGCTCCCAATCCCTTTGAATTGGCTCCCAAGTGCAATTGTATCAGATTAATTTAATTTGGCTTCTCAAATTTTACCTTGTAAAATTGTTGATGGTGAGTTTCAAACTTGAGCCATTTCACATAACATATCAAGCATCATCCACTTCATCCGTACAGCTTTTGATTAAATCTCCAATCACATTTGATGTACTCCTTTCTTTCCATAGATGCTTGATCTCCAAGTCAATTTCATGCATTCTTCCAATATTAATTTTCTTCACGAAAATTCTTCTGTGATATCTTCTTTGAGTAGCATTGATGTGAATTATTGTATCATTCATCTTTTTCTTCAATTTGTCATTTTCTCCAGACAAATTCTTGATTTTAGGCTTTATATCTTCTTCTTCTATTTTCATGCATCTTCCTCTGTCTTTCTCTTTTCCAGTTTAAATAATTTCTCGATCATGGTCTAAGACTCTACTAGACCTATAAACAAAATTGGGGGATCTACAAATACAAATTTGGCATATCAAAACCATTACACTTTATTCCTAATAGTATAGTTATGCAATTCTGCATGTATAGTTATGAAGTTATGAATGTGTAGTTATGCAATTCTGGATGTATAGTTATGAAGTTATAGATTTTTTTAAGTCGACGTCAAAACGACTTCGTTTTTGCATCCGTGTGCACCATGCATGGTGCACACGGATGCACAACATAACGCTCCCAATAAGCCATCAAAGTTGCAAAATGTCACAAAAACTGAGCTTAAAGAATAACCCTTAGTAAACCACATTAGAACAACATAATCATTTTTGTTCAATTTTTCTCCGCCTTGATAATAATAGGTTTAGATCTTTTTGCATCCTGAGTAGATGTGAATTGGTCCATCAGATTTCTCTTGGTTGAATCTGGAGATATCTGTTCATCAGTATCTGCCTTTATAGGTTTTTGAATTTGCTGAACAACAGGACTACTGGCTTCATCAGAACTATCTCCAGATTCATAATCTTGATTTTAAAAAAAAAAGTTGATTTTTAAAAACAATAAAACCAAACCGAAAACACATTTTATAATAGTTCAGTTACGTACGTTAGGGTCATCATCTTCTTCTTCTTGAGCAATTAGTTTTGATAGCTCATCCGTCTCATTTGTAAGGGTAGAGTGTGTTGCCACCAAATCTTCATCCTGAGTTATGTTCAATACAGGAATAGCTAAGAAAGGATTTTTAATGTGATCATACTTCACTGAGACTTTGAAAACCATAGCTTTGTTCCTAAGAGACTCAAATTCTGTTGGAATCTGAGCAGGATCCTACAAATTATAATCAAAGTTAAATTTTTCAAAATTTGTAATGTGTGAACTATTAAAGCCTAGAATACAATATATAAGTAGATAAAAGAAATGTATACCTCCAAGTATTTAATTGTTTCTGAGATCATAAACACTCAATCCTAATAACTCAGCACATTCGTTATCGCAGAGCAGAAAAGGTGCATCCCCATACTTGTCGGAAACTCTAACACCCAACCTGTATCTTGGAATTCCTAGTTGCCAACTAATTTTGCATGTGTCACACCACGGTGAGGCCTTTTTCTGCTCAAGATTTCTAAAACAGCATGCTGACTTGCAAGAATAGTAGTATCATTGTCTGGCACTCTCCAATGCAGTGATTTTTGCAGGAACATGGTAATAGCCTTCCTGTTGTATTTTAGTAAAATAGAACAGAGATTTGGATGATAAAAAAAAAAGGAAGCTAATAATATTATTTGGATACAACTAAGAGATTTTAATGAGTATTACCTCAGCCACGTTATAAAGTTCAACTATGGTGCTAACAATCATAGGTTTCTTGCTAGAATATTCCTCACTGTTAGGGTATGAAAATGTTGAAACATTGGTCATGCTCCTAATAGGAATCTGATTATCCTTCAAACTGGAAAAAAAATTCAATGGTTAGATAGTTAATTTAAAAAATTAGCCATTGATGAAAAAGAAAAATTTACCTAGCCTTGAATACTTTAAACTCTTTACAATCATGATTTATCCAAACCTTGGTTGCATTATATGAACTTGATATTCTGACTTCAGCTGAGATTAAGAGATAAGTTGTTAGATGTTTATGTTAGATAGGCAGTGTGTATAAAATAATTGTAAAAGTAAGGTGAAACTTACTGTCTAAGTGCTTTGTTCTACACATTTGCAACAGAATAATTATAGAGCCATCAAGAGTTTCAGTAAAATAGGGCAGGACATCATCCACATGTGAATCCCATAGTGTGCATTTAATCCTATTGTTCCAAAAATAATGTATATTATCATATTATAAAAATTTATAATGTTAGTAAATGTATTCATTCAAGAATTACAAATTTTTGAACTTACTCGGAGTCTTCAATGAGAAAATCCACCAGCTTTGAAGGATAACCTCATATATATATATATATATTCATATATATATATATATATATATATATATATATATATATATATATATATATATATATATATCCAATGGAAGTTACTTTTTTAAAATTTCCTTTCATAGCATTATGGTATTTATATGGTAGTAATTCTAAAATTTTCTTCTGGCAAATTGTTTTTGCCATTAGGCAACTGCTGGTTTGAGATGGGTCTGTCAGGGTCATTTTTGTGGTCTTGTTCTTGTAAATAAACGAGACCTTACTAAAAGCATAATTTTTAAAATCAATATCATAATTTTTTCTAATAATAATATAATTGATGGGATATATACCCCGATTGGACGGGACAGAGGCGAGCGTCAGCGAGGAGTCGGTAGAACAAAATAATCAGGAGTCTGCGAGGGTAAAAAAGTGTTTGGATACTAAGCAGAAAGTTGAGGTAGAGTGGGGGGAGGGGTCAGCAGTGAGTAGTGAAGGGTGTCGGTAGAGAACAATGAGGGCAGTCGACGATGAAGAGTCCCAGACTGAGGGGAGTTTTGAGAATGACTATTTTGATTGCTAAGAGAGTTGCCCATTTTGTATAATTCCATTCGTTGCCGTAAAAATTAAACAAAACAACGAAATAGATATATTACACAGAATGGCATTCCATTCTAATGTATTCTACCAACCAAACGTCTCTCGTTAGTTTAAAAAGTTATAACGCTTACCCAACTAAATAATAAATTTTAAAAAAAAAATAATCCTCTCCCATGCACCAATCTTTACCCAAAGGACTTGAATAGGCAATGCTCATTGAGTTGTTATACATTGACCAGGGTTCACCTTGTAAGGTTGACCATATTTCTAAATTGTGTATTTTTAGTATTGGAATTGTGAACTTCTAGAATATAAATTGTGTTTTAAGTTTTGGAAATTTGTGAATACACAATACAGGGTTATCACAAATTGTGAATTTTTAAAAGGTAAATTGTGTACCTTTGGACCCAGGTCCACAGAATAATTTAACATGTTCATTGGCATTGCACAAGAGTCAAAAGAGTCCAAACATATTTTAGTATTGTACAAATCAGAGACGAACATCTACTAAAGGGTAGGACTGTTAACGAACCGAACATGAACGAATGGAGGTTGATCGTGTTCGTTTGTTAAGATTTTTGAAGTGTTCATGTTCGTTTGTTAAGGTTTTTTAAAATCATATTCGTGTTCGTTTGTTAAGCGTTCATTAGTGTTTGTTAATGTTCACGAACGTGTTCATTAACGTTAACGAACATGTTCGTTAATGTTTACAAACACATTCATGAACGCTTAATAACCTGTTATAGTATATATATATATATATATATATATATATATATATTAGGCAGTCTAGTCTTTTGGAAATTTGTTTCCTTGTTTGGTGTCTTCTAGCTTGTATATATATATATATATATATATATATATATATATATATATATATATATATATATATATATATATATATATATATATATATATATGGTTGTGTTGTGTATTCTCTTCTGTAGATGTATATGAAATAATACATTATTCTATTTCATAACATGGTATCAGAGCCTAAACCCTAAAATTTCTAACCCTTTTTTTCGCCGCCGCCACTGCCAACAGAGAGCTACCACCGCCACGATTGTTCATCTCGTTTCGGCACCTGCCTTGTGGTTTTTCTCCCAAACCAAGTCCATAGGCCTAATCGGAACCTCGTCGCGAGCTTGGGGCTGAAGTCTGGTCGTCATCTGTCGCCGCACGCGTCGTCACCGTCGTCGGAGAACCGCCTCTTTTTCCAGGCAGATCTCCTCCTCCGATCTTCGATCGAGATGCTGTTGCCACCATTGGACTCGTCTTGAGGAGACACTTCTGGCAGTGTTGTTTGTTTTCAGATCCGCCGTCGGTCGCCGGTCAACGGCCAGTCAACGCCGGTCAACTTCGCCGGTTAACAGCCTGGTTGTATCGTACACCTTCCGATTCCTATTTTTTGTGCTTTGTGATCTGCTTTTTTGTGTGGGTATGGCTGAATATCAATCTGATATGTTTGCTAAGTCGATCATAATCTCAGCTGATGAGTTTGCTGAGTTTTCTCGGTACCGAGCCTCTCTTAAACATTCATCATCTTCGGTCACTGCTATTGCTAACTCAGGTAACACAACTTATTCCCTTCTCTCGTCCTCTTCCAAATGGATCATAGACTCATAAGCCATAGATCATATGATAGGTAACTCTAGTCTGTTTTCCACATTTTCTCCTCATACACATAGTCCTCCTGTCACCTTAGCAGATGGATCTACCTCCCGTGTACTTGGGTATGGTACCATTTTGCCTGTCCCTTCGGTCCTCTTTTCATCTGTCTTGAGTCTGCCTAACTTCTCGTATAATTTAATTTCGGTTAGCCAACTTACTCGTTCGTTAAATTGGTGTGTTACATTCTTTCCAGACCATTGTTTGTTTCAGGATCTTACGACAAAGAGGGTGATTGGTAAGGGACACATGTATGGGAGACTTTACATTCTTTTCACCATGAGGCTGGAGTCTGTGGCTTGTTCTAGTGTTGTCACCCCGTTTGATGCTCATTGTTGTTTGGGTCATCCTTCCCTTCCGTTGTTAAAGACATTGTGTCCTCAATTTCGGAGTTTGTCTTCTTTACCTTGCGAGTCATGTGAGTTTTCTAAGCACCATCGCGTGTATTTGAGTCCTAGAGTCCACAAACGTGCAACTTCTCCATTTGAATTAGTCCATTCTGATGTATGTGGACCGTGTTCTATGACCTCTAAACTTGGGTTCAAGTATTTTGTTACTTTCGTTGATGATTTTTCTCATATGACGTGGTTATATTTGATGAAGAGTCGTTCTGAATTGTTTGGTTTGTTTCTTGGGTTTTGTGCTAAAATTGAAACCCAGTTTGGAGTGCCTGTTAAAATCTTACGTAGTGATAATACTAAGGAATATTTTCCGTTCCCCTTTGCCTCTTATATGCTTCAGAAGGGTATGCTACACCAGTTCTCTTGTGTCGACACACCTTCCCAAAATGGGGTGGCTAAGCGTAAAAATAGGCATCTACTCGAGGCTGCAAGGGCCTTGCTATTTCAGATAGGAGTTCCTAAGCGATTTTGGCCTGATGTTGTTTCCACAGCCTGTTTCTTAATCAATCGCATGCCCTCTATAGTCTTGAATGGGAAAACACCATCCTATTGTCTCTATCCATCAAAGTCTTTGTTCCATATTGACCCACGTATATTTGGTTGTGTATATTTTGTTCGGGATGTTCATCCCACTGTCACCAAGTTAGATCCAAAGTCTTTAAAGTGTGTCTTTCTTGGTTATTCTCGTGTGCAAAAGGGGTACATATGTTACTCTCCTAAGCTTGGTAGATACCTTGTGTCCATTGATGTGACTTTTCATGAGGACATTCCTTTTCTCTCTTCCTCTCCAAATGTTATCCGTCAGGGGGAGGATAATGATGTTTTGTTGTATAAGATCACATTCTATGTTCCTATCCTTCCTACCCCCCCCCCCCCCCCGTCTTACAGGTATATTCTTGTAGACCTCGTCAGAATGCATCTGTTCCAGATCCGCCTCCAGTTAGTCCCCTTGACTCGGTGCCTGCACAATTTCCTGAAACCACCTCTTCGTCGTTAGATCCAGTCTTGGACAGTAACCTTCCGATTACTCTCCGAAAAGATAAACGCAGTTGTACTTATCCTATGTTTTCCTTTGTGTCATATGGTCGTGTTTAACCAGCTTCTTGTTCTTTCATGGCTTCTCTTGATTCTATTTCTGTTCCTAAAACTGTTAAAGAGGCTTTGTCCCATCCTAGGTGGCGAAATGCTATGATTGAAGAGATGAATGTTCTGGATCGTAATGGTACTTGGGAATTGGTTAACCTGCATGCTGATAAGAGGCCTATTGGTTGTAAATGGGTGTTCGCTGTCAAAGTAAATTCTGATGGGTCTGTTGCTCGATTGAAAGCTCGTCTTGTGGCTAAGGGATATGTCCAAACTTATGGAATTGATTATTTTGATAATTTTTCTCCTGTGGCTACGCTTACTTCTGTCAGGTTACTCATTTCGATGGTTGCCATTCATGATTGGCCTCTACATCAGCTTGATATCAAGAATGTTTTTTTTTTCTTTTTTTGCATGGGAATCTTCACGAAGAAGTGTACATGGAGCAACCTCCTGGGTTTGTTGCTTAGGGGGAGTTAGGGAGAGTATGCCGACTTCGTCGGTCATTATATGGGTTGAAACAAAGTCCTCGTGCCTGGTTTGTGAAATTTAGTCAAGCTATTGAGAGCTTTGGGATGGTGAAAGGAAAATCAGATCACTCCATGTTTTACAAGTGGTCTAAAACATGCATTATTTGGTTAGTAGTCTACATGGATGACATTGTCATTACAGGGAGTGACACCGAAGGGATCTCATCTCTCAAGACATTTCTTCATAGTCAATTTCAAACAAAAGATTTAGGGCCACTAGAGTACTTCTTGGGTATTGAAGTTATAAGGAGTAAAACAGGTATATTACTTGCTCAACGAAAATATGTACTTGACTTACTTTCTGAAACATGAAAACTGGGTGCTAAACCATGCAATACTCCCATGATACCGAACACACAATTGTCAAAGGAGGGGGATTTGTTTAAAGATCCTGAGAGGTACAGGAGATCAGTTGGAAAGCTGAACTATTTGATAGTGATTCGTTCAGATATTGCATACTCTGTTAGTGTTGTGAGTCAGTATATGGCATCTCCAACTGTTGATCATTAGGCAGCTGTAGAGCACATCTTGAGCTACTTGAAAGGAGCCCATGGACATGGAATTTTGTATAAAAATCATGGTCACACTCAAATTGAGTGTTTTACTGATGCTGATTGGGTATGATCAAAAGAAGATCAAAGATCAACAACTGGCTATTGTGTTTTCTTTGGAGGTAATCTGGTTTCGTGGAAGAGCAAAAAGCAGAATGTGGTTTCTCGTTCAAGTGCAGAGTCTGAATATAGAGCTATGGCACAATCAGCATGTGGAGTGATGTGGATAAACAACCTCCTGAATGAATCTGGTTCCAAAGCTCCAATCCCTGCAAAACTATGGTGTGATAATCAAGCTGCTCTTCATATTGCATCCAACCCGATATTCCATGAACGAACCAAGCACATAAAGATCGACTGCCACTTCATCCGTGAAAAGATACAAACAGGTTTAATATCTACAGGATTTGTGATGACTGAGAACAATTAGGGGACCTATTAACAAAAGCCCTTAACGGCACCAGAGTTAGTTATTTATGTAACAAGTTGGGCATGATTAATATCTATGCTCCAACTTGAGGGGGAGTGTTATAGTTGGGGGAGTGTTATAGTGTGTATATATATATACTAGTTTTTTACACGCATTGCGCGATTGGGATAATGCCCAATGTTTTTCTTAAATAAGTATTTTAAAGTATATCAATGCAAGATTATATTAGAATTGTTCATGCATAGATAATTGAATCACTACAACAGAAAACACCTACCACGGCGGTTATTTTTATAAATACACGACGGCTCTTGAAGTGCCGTGTAGGTGACCGCCTTTGTAAATAAAGACTTTCTACGGCGGTTTTTTGAACCGCCGTGTATACTTCATATATATGGCGGTTTTTAACTGCCGTCTAATGTTAAGATGTACGCCATAGAATCTTTTAATTTACATGTATACACGGCGGTTTTCATGTGGAACCGCCGTCTATACATATATTTTGGACGTTAAAACATATGTACAGACAGCGGTTCTTTCTTGAAACCGCCGTCTATAGCTATAGTTTTAACGTATAAAACATACTTTATATGTCGGTCATTAAGTGACGTAGTATATATTAGAAGGCGGTTATTTTAAACCCGCCGTCTATTAAGTGACGTAGTATATAATATAAGGTGGTTATTTTAAAATTACCATCTATTATGTGCCGTAGTATATAATAGAAGGCGGTTATTTAGAAAACCGTATAACCGTCTTCTATTATTTGTCGTAGTATAAAAACATATAATAGAATACGGTTATTTAAAAAAACGTCTTCTATTAAGTGACGTGGTATATCATTTCTGTAGTAGTGAATGTTGAATTTGCGTATTTAAATTGGTAATTCTAAGTTTACAAATGCAAGATAATATAGTCAAGATAGGATTATAATTATCAATAAAATAATTGTATGGGTATGGTTGAAACCAAATACGTGACATAAGGGAGAGCAAATAAAAATTAAAGCATAAAATATTAAATATATACTAATATTGTTTAAGGAGATTCTGGTGGTTAGAGTTCTATTAAGACTTTAATATTAGAATTAGATTAATGTTGTAGTTATAATTCTATATTGGACTTTAATATTAGAATTAGATTAATGTTGTAATTAATGAAAAAGTTAACGGATCGGATAATCATATAATTAAGGATAAATTAAGAAATATCAAAGGAAAAATTAAAATCTGAACAATCTGGACTATTCATTTGATTTAATAATTTGACGGTCATTTTTCTACCCAATGTTTATAATTAAATAAATATTGAAAAAATTGTAAAAAAATGTCCCTCTATAATATGCCAATTATCAATGTCACCCCTGAATTACGAGTGGTGTAAATGTTGTCCCTCAATTATCAAAACGGTGCACATATAGCCCCTCCCATAACGAACATGTTGTTCCCCGTTAGTGTACAGCACCGTTAAGTCGGAGTAAATATGTAATTT